TTGGTGATTGGGAATAAATGTGTTTGTTTAAATTTATAAAGTATAGGTTAATATTTATACTCGACATACATTTTATGATTAAAAATTGAATAACATTTTTTTGATTTTTGATGGCCTGTGTTATCCATAAAATAAAATTTTTTTCTGCAATTTCACATAAATTAACAACGTCAATTGATGGCTTAGTTAAGCCACCACGATTTTTAATATCAATTAATTCGTGTCTGCTAAATTTATCCGTTAATTCTGCTGCACATAGATCACATTTTAATAAACATAATATTTTTTTCACAATAAAACCGGATATATGCTGAATAGCAAAGGTTTTATAATGAGGTATTTCTTGCAAATTTTCATCATCTATTAAGTTTGGCATTTCTTCTACACATAAAATATCTAAAAAATTTTCTTCTGGTTTTTTTTTGGTACTAGTGACACTTAGAATGCTAGTTGCGTCCTGAGGTGAACAATTTGCTCGCTTTGAGACAGTCAAATTGGTGTGTACTAGTAACCTTTTGTATGCGGCTTCAAACTGCGCAGCTGAAGGATTATTATTAAACCCTCCTCTGGACCTTATTGAAGAGAATAATATTTCAATATGATCTTGAGATAATTTGTAAGTTAAAATTAAATCTAACTGTCCAGACTTTACTACATCTAAAAATAATTGTTTTACACTAATTAAACATGTAATTAATCCAATAAAGCCAGTTTTTCTTTGAGATCCTAAAATTGGTATATTATTCTGCCCTTTTAAGCTTTCTAAATACAAAATAGAATCTTTAACAAATGTATTTATGTGTTCTTCAAGATTTGCATACAATGGTCGTTTATATTGTAACTGCCCCAAAAAATTACGTGTATTAAGAAAATCGAAAATGTCATTAATTTACCTACAAAATTCTATTGTCGAATCACTATTTTGAAACCCATCAAAACATTCATTTTTACACAATGTTAAAGCATCTGCAACACTGGCACTGAATGTTTGTGCTGCTAAACTTACTTTCATTTTTTCTTTAAAGTACCAAATATGTCGTCGTCTAAGTTTAGTTGCCAAATGTAAGCCACCTTTTTCTTGCAAATCTACTAATTTTTTGAAATAATCCCATTCAATTGATTTCCCATTTTGGTCATACAGTGTTCGCCAATCACCAAGGGTGTTCCTAACCAATTTCAACATGTGAGCTGCATCTAAAAATATGTGTACGTCTTCCTGGGTATTTGGATGTTTAAATGATGGTTTGGTTGGTAAATTGGCACCTAATATTTTTACCATGGATATATTTGAAGCAGCCCCATCAAATGTTAATGATTTAATAATAACACCAGTATCGTTCAAATTTTGAAGACATGTGGTGACTAAATTTGATTTTTCTACTGCAGTTGTACCATTCATTAAGAAGTATCCTACTGGAATTTTCCAATTAGAATTCAAGGCCACTAATAAAAATACTAAAGCTTCTCTGGCCAATGGAAGGCTATCAGAATCTACTTTGTCTTGTCCAAAATTAATGTACCCTTGAAGGCGGTGACCATTAAAATGAATATCTTCTCTAATAGACATTTCATCCATGATCAAACCGCAAAAAAGTTTTTTATTTTTTTCTCCCATTTCTTCAACCTTAAGTTTTACAGCATTCAAACATTCAACACTAAACCCAGGAGACCCGTCAATAGTAGAATACCATTTTCTGATAGTACTTGGATGAGGTAAGGTTTTATTAAAAATCTCTCTAACATAGCTGTATGCAGCTGGAGAATAAAAATGTAAAGTTAGCCCAAATGTTCTTAATTCTGGTGATATACTATTTCCTGTTGACATATGTAAATGTTTCATAATGATTTCACTTTGAAGAGGTGGTATACTTTCCTATAAACATTATCAACAACATAAATCATTGCTAACAAAAAATTGAAAATAATAGTATCTTTAACAAAATTTAAATACCACATTTTTATAATAGTATTTTAAAAGTATTATTACTATCATTGATGATAGACTTTACTATAATTTATTAATTTAAACTATACTCATCTCAAATTAATAATTTAACAAATATATTTTTTTATATCGTAAATCAATTAAATGTCATAATAATATGTGAAGATGAGAACCTACATGACCTTCATATAGGTATACTGGGTGATTCTTTTATCAAACAACACTCATTATTTCAAAAAGTGTAAATTTTTTTGAAGATATTTTTTTACATAGTTTCAAGTCGCTTATAAAACAACGTTTTTATTAAAAAATTATATTTTTAATTATTTTTTATCCTTATAATTTTTTAAGTTTTTTACTTTTTTGAATGACAACATAGGGTTTTAATTTTATATTCTAAAGTAGAATATTTTTCTTAGTATTTTGATACATGAAAATTGAATTTGGGGCGAGTAGTTTATGAGTTATAAGTATTTAAAGTTTAGTCGAGCGGTCAAGTGGACAAACATTTCGCGGGGTAACCCCGAACCACTCCACTCCGCTCGTCTAAACTTTAAATACTTATAACTCATAAACTACTCGCCCCAAATTCAATTTTCATGTATCAAAATACTAAGAAAAATATTCTACTTTGGAATATAAAATTAAAACCCTGTGTTGTCATTCAAAAGAGTAAAAAACTTAAAAAATTATAAGGATAAAAAATAATTAAAAATATAATTTTGTAATAAAAACGTTGTTTTATAAGGGACTTGAAACTATGTAAAAAAATATCTTCAAAAAAATTTACACTTTTTGAAATAATGAGTGTTGTTTGATAAAAGAATCACCCGGTATTATAAGTTATATAACATTAAAACAACAATTGTCAATTTGTAATTTATAATTATTAATTTTATTAAAAACATTTATAGTTGCAACTCGCATAATATATAATTTACAAATTATTAAAATATATTAAAATACACAAAATTATGTTATCAAAAAACAGAAAAGAAATGTTTGTGTTTTTGTATTGGATTATTTTTATTTTATACTGATATAGTGATATTTACGTATAAACGAAAAATTTCAAAATGATTTTAACTTAATGGATTTTTCAAAATCAACTGAGAAAAGATAAGTTATTTCAACTGTAAATTAAACTAGTTAAGTTCATAAGTTCATTAGAAAATAAACTAACCAGTTAAGTTAAAAAGTTAAAATATAATTAACTTTTTAACTACCTAGTTAATGCCCACCTTTGCAAACAACAGTGGCGCAACTAGGGCTGAAATGTTGGAGGACTGTAGCCTCCACCTGAGATTACATAAAAAGTAACCCGTGGGGGCATTGACCTCACACCACCATATAATATGTACACTTAACACTTTTTGTTTACCTTTAAAACAGTGTAACAGTTTTCTGAAATAAGTTTTTTTTCTTCATTCAGGTGTTCAACAAGGCTTGATAAGTTTTTTATTTTGTTGCGCAGGTGTTCATTATATTTTGTCAATTTTTTAAGCTTCTTTTTCTGTTCTAAGATAACAGACTGTGAAGCATGCCAATACTTCAAGCGGCTGTTGGGAGTTTCTATGTCACTAGGGGATTCAAAGTCTCCAACATATACTTTCCGTTTCCTAAAATATATAAGAATAATAATTTTTTTTTTTTAGTACCTATGAATAGTTTAAATATGGTAGATTTTAGTTTTTAGATAACTGTACAGTGAAAATACCTTTGAGAAAAATGTTTAAATTGCGAAGGAGGCATTGTCAATGGTTTAGAAACTACAATAGTTTCATCATCAAATTCATCATTAATCTTTGTGTGCACACTAATTTCTTCAACTAACGGTAATGGCACCACTTCTTCTTCCAATTCATTAAAACACACTGTGTCTAAACTAATTTCTGAAGATAATGGCTCAACTTCTACTTCCATTTCATCATTTATTGTATCCATATTTTCAAACATTAATGAGCGCCGAGAACCTATATAAGGGCAAGTTGTACGGTTAAACTTCGATTACGCTTACAATTAACATTGATAAATAATTATTATAATTCTACATTTGAACTTACTTATACACATTATACCAATAATACTAGGGACTGCATTCTTTTTTAGCTTTTTTTGATTATTCATACTGGTAATCGGTATTGTATAATCCTTTTCACAAAAGTGACTTTCACAAACTAAATGTGAAGGCTTCAATTCAAAAAATTTGTCAATTGATTGAATAAACTCCAACCATTTTGATTGAAGATCAAGATCTTTAGGGAACCTTTCCAACAATAAATAATAATATTAAAAGACAAGGTAATTTTAAAAAATAACATAGTAGTTTTTACCTGTGTAGTTTTAACCCTTGACCAGCAATAGTTGGGCAGGTCTTAATACAACAACTGTTAACCATATTTGCAACAGTTTCGACTACAGACTACAGTATTTACTATTTAATCAACGCTAACGTAATATGTCTATGACTTAAAATTGAATTTAACGACAAAATACACAATTCACAATAAAATATGAAAATCAAACATCAGTCAAATCAAATAATACCGTAATCATGGATTATAATATATTAAGATAACATTCATGGAATATAAATTTGTGTAATATATTATTCCATGATTTTTTCCAAGATGTATTGCTGTCCCTCTCATACTATGGGTGCGTTCCTGCTGGACGCTTTCGCGCTCACAGTGCTCACAATAGCGCTCATGATTATGAACCGTTCCACTATAGAAAATAAGCGCATAGAATCGCTTTGCTTACGTTCCAAGTGGAACGATGTTGAACCTGCCATGAGAGCTTAGACCGTGTTATCATTTTATCAAAAATGAAATTGATAACATAATCCACAAATCTAGTTTGTTTTTTAAATTCAAAATTGTAATAATCTACCAACGTTTTGTTTCTTTGTTTTTATAATGAATAATTTGAATTATCGTGCGTTAGTTATTATATTGGCTATACAACAATGCTGTGATATTATATTTTCTTCTTCGTCGGATGACAGTGAAGATGACAGCAATGAATTGTATGAATACGTAGTACAGGATATAGGATGCTTCCAACCACATTTGAATATGTATTAACCCTAATCGCTCCAAAGTTAAAAAGAATGAAGCCGGGGTACAAATCTATTTCACCAAATAAACAATTTTTAATTGCGATATGGAAAATGGCTACTCCTGACTCTTACAGGTACTTACCTAACCTAACCTTCTGTTACACAAATAACATTATTTTTAGATGCAATAATATTACTTGCCATATTATTATATTTAGTTCTATCTTTTATATGATACCTACCTAATAACTTTTTAGATCAATTTGTGAAAAATTTGGTGTGGGGCGAGATGCGAGCTACTGCATTAAGATGTATTAGAAGAGTCATTGTTGCTTTAGAAATGTTGGCACCAGTTTTCATCACTTGGCCAAATGAAGAAAAAGTTGAAGAAATTAAAAATGGATTTTTTTCTAACAGTACTTTTCCAAATGTTCTTGGTGCGATTGATGGGACACATATTAACATTCCTGCACCACATGAACATCAAGAAACTTATGTTAATAGAAAAGGTCACCATTCAATTCAATTACAAGTATGTTAATGTTTTAATTTTTAAATTTTATTCGATTTTAATGAACTGTTTTTTTCAACAGGCTGTGTGCGATCATAAACGTCGTTTTATTCATTGCTATGTTGGGAATGTGGGTTCAGTACATGATCAACGGGTTTTCAGATTATCTGAACTGAAAAATTACCTTGATGACGCAACCAAATTTCCTAATAACACCCATTTAATTGGTGATTCCGCTTATACCTTGCATGAACATCTTATGGTTCCATACCGTGATAATGGGCACTTAACTCAAAAGCAAAAGAATTTCAACTTTTGTCATTCCTCTGCAAGGATGGCAATTGAACGGTCTTTTGGTTTAGTAAAAGGACGGTTTCGTAGTCTCCTAACAACATTGGATATGAAGCGTGTCGATCTAATTCCCAAGTATATTATTGCATGCTGTATTTTACATAATATATGCTTATTACAAAATGATGAATTTCCTGGTCTATCTGAAACAACACCGGTAAACGAAAATATACAAGCTCGTGGAGAGTTGGTTGCAATTAATCGTCAAGGAGCATTCAAGAGGGACAATTTGTGTGATCAACTACCTTTTCGCCATATATAGTGTAAATACAATGATATGTTTACAATAAAAAAAACTAGTCTGAATCATAACAATTTGTATTTTATTTTTATATAATTATAAGTTAGTAATAGTACTACCATCAAAAAAAAATATATATTATATTAAATATTATATAACACATATATATTGACTAATTACAGTTAACAACATTAGTTCACAAATAAATATCAAACAAATATATTTTCAACCTTTGAAATATTGAACATAAATATATAATAATAAAAAAAAAATAATAATAAACAAAATAAATAATAAAAATAATAATAAATAATAAACATATCTAACAGATTACAATCCTCAGTCTTAATATTTTAAAGTTTTACAAATCACATATATATTGACTAATTATAGTTAACAACATTAGTTCACAAATAAATATCAAACAAATATATTTTCAACCTTTAAAATATTGAATATAAATATATAATAATAAAAAAAAAATAATAATAAACAAAATAAATAATAAAAATAATAATAAATAATAAACATATCTAACAGATTATAATCCTCAGTCTTAATATTTTAAAGTTTTACAAATCACATATATATATTGAATAATTAGTTATCTCAATCACTGATTTTTAGTTTCCAGTACACTTACTAGTCTAGCCAAAAGATTAATAGCCTCTTTTTTCTGATCCATTTTTTCTTTATGTCGCTTTTCTCTGTTTTCTTCTACCACTTTTCTATTTTCCTCAATTGCTAATCTAAACTTATCAACAGGAGAAAAATAGTTTTGTTTATTTTTAGGATTTTCATGAGGGCTTATGGCAGAAGATGGAGAATTATCCACTTCTGGTTGGTCCCTTTTCCCCGTCGAAGAAAGAGTGGCTATGGGTGTAATGTACGGTTTAGCTCCTAACAAGTCATCCAGTAAATTAAAATATGGCCAAGTTCTGGTACCATTTCCAGACTTACTGTTGTGGTCTTTGATCGACTTGTACGTCCTCTTCAAACCTCCGAATTTTGATTGACATTGAGGACCAGTGACATTGTAAGATTTTTTTAACAGTTCATCTCCTATTGATTGCCAAATCTTTTTTTGGGAAATCTTCCCTGAACAGTTTTTCTATATTCTTCAATAAGAAGTAATATGGCCTCATGAGGCCATTTAAATACATTGACATCAACTTCAGCTGTCTGTTCTTCTTGTACTGTTCCAGAATAATTATTCTGTGATGGCTGTTCAAGTTGTTCTGTCGGCTGTTGTGAATCAGATTGATTTTTCTTGCATATATCCAACATTTCAGCTGCGAATACCATATCTAAGAACAAAAAAAGGTGGGTAAGTCACTGTATAATGGTTGGTATTAAATTTGAATTCAATGATACAATATCATTGTATAAGAAAAACGATTCTGAGCGAAGACGGTATGTCAGTCTAGGTTTAAGACATATTATATACATATCTATGGTAATTAAAAAAAAAATTGACCTATAATAAATTCCAAATTAATCATATCACAATATCCACTAGGTACTTATAACACGTTATACATCAATAACAAACCCTGATACTATCATTGATATATAATATAGTGTACTTTAGAAGTTTCAAGTACCCACGAATAGTATTATACACTAACAACAAAATGACTAAAATAGGTATGCTAGGTTTTTTAATATGTAATTTCGTCCCAAATTTGAACTTAAAATGTCTGAAAAAATAACTGTGCTCATATATTTTTTAAATTTTCAATCTTTAGCTATAAAAACTGAACATTTTATAATTTATTAATTACGATGGTTGATAATTTTCGAGATTTTGATAAATTTTGTCAAAATGCGATCTTTAAATGCTTATAAAAAAAAATTGCGAGTATGTATTTTTAATATTTTTCAATTGCTATTGTAACAATATATCAGGAGCCTTGTATTAATTTTTCACATTTTTTGGCCCAACAGATAAAACTTTATTAATATTTATAGAAAAAAAAAACTAAAAAAATTGAAAACTGAAAATGTCCGTAAACGGCTCAAAAAGAGTCAAAATATTTTCAAGATTGCATGGTGTATAGGAAATGCTAATATAAACATTCAGTGAAATTTTCATGTATATATAGTAAATCGTTTTTGAATTACAACAAAATAAGGAAATCGCCACATGAGAAATCGAGTGAATATCCAATGTTGTAAAAATTTGAATTTCAAACGCTTATAAAAATTTAATTTGACTTACTTATAGAATTTTTTTTTTTGATAAATGTAGGAAATCTTATAAGGAATCTTGTATTACATTTTTATATCTTAGATTTAAAAAGAAAAATTTTTATGAATTTCTAACTCGAAATAATTTGCAAATTTTCGTGATTTTTCCATATTTTGTCATTTTTAGAACTTCAAATGCTTGAAAAAAAAAAACTGTGACTAACGATTTTTAATGTTTTTCATCTGTCTTTGAAACAATATAGTAGGAGCCTTCTATTAAATTTTCAAGTTTTTTTAACCAACAAATAAAATTTTATTGATATTTCTAGGAAAAAAACTAAAAAAAAAGGAAAAATGAAAATGTCCCTAAACAGTTCAAAATAAATCTAAATATTTTGAAAATGTTATCGTGTATAGAAAATGCAAATATAAACAACCACTGAAAATTTCATGTATCTACGGTTATTTGTTTTAAAGTTACACCAAAAACCAAAATCGATTTTTTGGAAAACCGATTTTGCGTAAAAATTGCCGTTTTTTCCTTAATTTTTATTTTGTTTTTCCCGGCGCTTTTGAAAACTACTGGGAAATCTAAATTTTGACCTGTCCAATGCACCAACGATATTCACTTTCCAATCGAACGAGATACTGAAGTTGAAAATCGAAGCATTATTTCGACTACTTATCGTGTACACACACAAAAAAAAAATAAATAAATAAAAAAAAAAACACACATCATTGTAAAATCAATACATTCATCGTTTCACTCAGAATCTAAAATTCATATTGAATTCAAAATAAGTTCAAAAATTTGATTTACTCTTAATATAATACCTGTTTTTATACGATTCGCCTCATCCCTCGTCTCATTTAATGTGTACGTTTCTCTATCCACTCCATCCATCAGTATAATAGAAATTGACATATTATTACTATTGCTATTATTCATATTACTATTGAATTAAATTATTAAACTATTACTATTTACTGTTGTAATAAATGTAATATTAATAATAAATATTACTGCCGTACATTTATTTTCAAATTGTGGTCTGTGATAAACTGATAAGATATCGCAAACGACGCAAACGCTTACGCTGCACTACCTATTTCATTTGAGCGTTGGTGAGCGCGTGACGATGACGTAGACCTCAGATCTCGTGACGTCACGGTTGTAGTGTGAGCGCTTATAAATGCCAAGTGGAACTCACTGGGAGCGCTCATGAGCGCTTGAAGCGTACAAAGCGTCCAGCCGGAACGCACCCTATGATGAGTGAAGAATACATAGGCAGGGGTGGTGGAATGCGCGGTCCATTAGTTAATATGTCTATGGTCTATACGCATTATAACGGTTTTATCATAAATATTTAATTCATAATATTATATTGCCCGTTTGCCGTATGCCGATGTCCAATTTTCCAGTGTCTTTCATATTTCACATTTTCTCGTCATCTTCCTAGTTACCGCTGTTTATATGAAGACTTAGTAAAACGGATTTTGTAACGGTACCTTTTTAAGATTTTCCAATTACATATTTATATTGTGCAGTGTGTTTCCCGGATGCTAAATGCCAATAATTACCGCTGTTTATAAAGACGACTTAGTCAAACGGATTTTGTAATGATACCTTCCTAAAATTTTCCAATTAGGTACATATTATTTATATTGTGCAGTGTGTTCCGGATGCTAAATTCTAATAAGCATTACTATTATACCTAGCCAAATATAGTTTAATACGTAAGTACTTATTTAATATTGATTTTAGTACCTATATAATATTGTGTTAAGAGGACGCCACACGGGCAAACGAAACCGAGCAATGACCAAGAGAATGCGCTGTTAGGTGTTTTCGCGATCCGCAAGCACGCGACGTTTAAGCCACGCCCACTACTCATTGTCGACTGCCGGCCGACGACTGTGCGCATTTGGGAGCGATGTTTATTATTTTCTCGACCTTCGTCCGTGGCGGATCGCGTAAATTATTAAATTTATACACTTAAACGCTTTGCTGCCATAATATTTTAAATATTCTCGCTTATCCACGTAGGTACCAACTTTTAATTAAAGCCACTGTTTGCCCAATTGTATACCCATTTGTATATAACAATATTATGTAGGCTAGAAAAACTAGTTTTTACCGTACCTTTAGTTGTTCTACAAACATTTTAAGTATTCGAGTTAATAATATTTTACGTACAATAACTTACTATTTATATTAAGTTTGTAAGAATATCAATATACATACATATGTATTTATTTTTGTACTTACCAATATGTTCGAATATAAGTATTCGTGATCAGATATTTATATTAAAAAGCACAATAATTAATCTCAATGATTCTGTTACATCATTTAATGAAAATAAAAAATTATATGTGCGCAAATAATGTGTGCCAATACTAAAAGCACAACAACGTTGACATATTATAGCTTAATATACATTTATAGCATAATTACCTTCTTTTTTAAAATACAAATGAAATATTAATATAGATGGAAGTAATTTATTAAAAATTTGTAGGTAGTAATTAATGTATGTTTATATATTTTTTAGATTTTTTGGTTACAGTATGAACTATTTATGAGAACCTTTGTGTTGAATTTGCAATCCTTAGCTATAAAAACTGAACATTTTATAACTTATTAATTACAATGATTGATAATTTTCGAGATTTTGATAAATTTTGTCAAAATTCGATCTTTAAATGCTTATAAGAAAAAACTGTGCCTATGTATTTTTAATATTTTTCAACTGATATTGTAACAATATATCAGGAGCCTTGTATTGAATTTTTCCACTTTTTGGCCCAACAGATAAAACTTTATTGAT